TCGTGGCCAGAAGAATGTGCCCCTCAGATTTTCTAGGGCAGGAGGTATAATTGGCTTCTAGTCGTGGCTGCTGACATGCTGGCAGCCAGGTTTATCTTCCTACAGGCTGCACTGGCCAGTGACCAGGCACGTTAGGGATATTACTCCTGGGAGGCAGGGGCTCCTCTGATGGATGACTTTGGCTCAAAAGACCCTTCCAGACTGACTGAAATTTTCTTAGAACCACAGAGCAGTCCATGGTGTTCCTCGCCACTTTTATTCCTCCTCCCACTCCATCTCCCTTCCTTCTCTCCTTCATGGGTGCCAGACCTGCCTCAGGGTCTGCTGGCTCTCCTGCCTCCTACTCCTTCCCCATTGTCCCTCACCGGTGTTTCCCCACTACATCTCTTATCCATCTCATCCCTGCTTGGCATCTGCTTCTCAGGGGACCTCACAAAATCACTCTTTAACTATTCTGTTTTGCATGTGCAATTTAGGACCCAATGTATTTCCTGAATTCAGGTCCAAGTGTCATTCATTAGAAGAAGGAAGACTTAGTCATGAAAGAATATGCATGTGAACTACCTGTATTGACTAATGAACTCTGTTGACCTAAATATGCAGGAAAGCATTTCAGTTCTGACTAACTTAAAATGTCTAGAGCAAGGCCTTGTAGATTGGAAGAGTTTGGAGGAGCCACAAGGAAAGAGGTGAGGCCAGAAGGTCTCCTCCTCCTACGTGCAGTGGATGAACTTGGAGACGAGGTGATGTCACAATGGAGGAACTATAGCACCGCCTCGAAGCTTGCCGGGGGGGTGGCCAGGGCTCTGAGGGGCAAGCTTTGCTCTCATTACCCAGTCACTCATCCGCACAACAAAGTCCACAGAGCACCTGCTCCACAGCGAGCTCGCCCACAAGGATGACAGAGGCACTCCTTTCCAAGTCATCACTTTGCAAGCTCCCTTTTGTTGATGTAAAAAAAAAAAAAAAAAATCAATAATCAGATTATTGGAGGTGGCCTCCTTATGACAGAAAACCACAAAATTCTGTAAAGCAATTATCGTTAAATTAAAACATTTTTTTAAAAAATATAAAGTTTAATGAAATTCAAAAAATCAACCAGAAACCCCAATTAAATAGAATTGAAACCAGCAGGGGGCGCTCTCACTGCCTGTGATGACAGCAGAACCCCACAGGAAGAAGACTCCCTCTGTTTCCTCCTGGGAACTCAGCCAATGACAAGCGCTGAACTCCTTTGGTCCACCCTCCCGACTTCCCGTTCCCTCTATAAAATCGGGCTCCTCCCCTTTTGTGCAGGGATTTGCATGTAGGCCCCCGTGGTTGCATACCTCAAATTACAATTCTCTGCTGATCTCAAATAAACTACTCTTTGCAGGAGAAATATTTGGCTATCTGTTTCTGGTCAGTATTAGGAACACAGGCACCCATCGATGTTTCTACCTTCCCAGTTACTAAGTTTTCAGACCGTATCCAAGAATCAGCTTGACCTTTATCTGTTGTTAAATTTTCTTTGTAAAAAGTACATATACGGGATTTGGTTAGAGTTTCCTTTATGTTTTTCTATGTATTTGAAATCTGTAATATTAAAATAGATAAAAGTGAAAGATGATTTCATAGACTAAAAGTCTTCCTTTTTTTTTTAATGTGGTAATAATTTCACCCATACAGAAAAGTTTTGTTTTGAAAGACTTTCCTTAGTGAGTTGTCTTGAAATTTTTATTGAAGGTCACCTGACTGTACACTTATGAATCTAGACCCTACATTTTGTTTCATTGATATGTTGATGCTGTGTCTTAATTGCTTTATCTTTTTAAATTTTTATCTATTTATTTTTGTCTGCACTGGGTCTTCGTTGCTGTGTGTGGGGTTTCTCTAGTTGCATCAAGTAGGGGCTACTCTTCATTGCAGTGGCCTCTCTTGTTGCACAGTTGGCGCTTAGTTGCCGAGGCATGTGGAATCTTCCTGGATCAGAGATCAAACCCAGGTTCTCTGCATCAGCAGGCAGATTCTTAACCACTGGACCACCATGGAAGTTCCATGTTTATAGAAAAGTTGAAAGAATAAGAATAGTACTAGGAACATCCACATTGTTCCCCCATTATTAATATTTTTCCCCCTTCAGTTTATCATTTGTTCTAATATTTTTTTCCCTGAATTGTTTGGGGTAAGTTACATACACTAAAGCTCTTTATCTCCATATACATCACTATTTCCTAACAGTTGCACAGTTATTAACGTCAGTAAATTTAACACCATGCTATGCTTTTATCTGAGCTTCCAGATGGAACTAGTGGTAAAGAACTCTCCTGCCAATGAAGGAGACATAAAAGATATGGGTTCAATCCCTGAGTTGGGAAGATCCCCTGGAGGAGGGCATGGTAACCCACTCCAGTATTCTTGCCTTGGAGAATCCCATGGATAGAGAAGCCTGACGGACGGCAGTCCCTAGGGTCCCAAAGAGTCTGACACAACTGAAGAGACTTAGCATGCACGTATGCTTTTATCTAATTTAATCTATCATTGGGCTTACCTGATGGCTCAGTGGTAAAGAACCTGCCTGCCAGTGCAGGAGACATAAGAGATGTAGGTGTTTTTTTTGTTTTGTTTTGTTTTTTTTTAAATTTTTATTAGTTGGAGGCTAATTACTTTACATCATTACAGTAGTTTTTGTTATACATTGATATGAATTAGCCCTGAAGAGATGTAGGTTTGATCCCTGGATCAGTAAGATCCCCTGGAAAAGGAAATGGCAACCCTCTCCAGTATTCTTGCCTGGGAAATCCCATGGACAGAGGAGCCTGGCAGGCTACAGTCCATGGGTTTGAAAAAAGTTGGGCAAGACTTAGCAACTGAGCATGCATGCCATTCAATCATCAGTATCAGTGTTCCAGTCTTGTCTTCTTAAGTTAATAATGTCCTTTATAGAAAATTTATTCCCTCCTGCACACAGCTGAACCTGGAGTCTGTTGTTGCATCTAACCGTCATGTCTCTTTCAGTCACCTTTTAATCTAGAATGTTTCAGTAGCTTTTCTTTAAGTGTTTGAAGAATGCAGCTCTTCACCCCTTTTTAAAATAGAACATTCCTTGCTCTGCATTTGCCTAGTTTCCGTATGATGAGGTGCAGGTGTACCTTCTTGACCGAAACACTACACAGGTCATACACCCTTCTCGGGATCACTCCTGGAGGCACGTGGTAGTCCTCTGTTCCCCACTGGTGATGTCGATCTAGAGCATATAGTTTGCTGTTTTCTTCTCCCTTTCAACTGACAAGTAGTGTGGCAGGGGGAGACACCAGCATTTCACCAAATTGCCTATATTGAGCATCTCAGTGATTCTTCTCTGATCCAGGCTTTACTGTGAACTTTCAGCTCCAGCACACCCTTCGCTTTGATCAGTGAGCCCCCAGTTATGTCTCACTTATTCGTGGTCATTACCTATTAATATGAACTCGTGGATTACTACTTTCCCAATGGCTTACAGTATATTAACACAATTACTGGGGTGCTCACATTGTCCTGGACCTGGCCTGTGGAAGCCCCATCAAGTTGGCTCCTGAGTCTTTGTGACGGGCCATAGGTGCTTTTTCTTTAAACCTGCATTGTAATAATAAATTCTACGATTGCTGAAAAAAAGTTAAAAACAAAAGTCAATTGAAAAAACTGCAAATCTCCCCTATAAGAATTTCAGGCTGTTTTGTTGTGCCTTGAGTTGTATTGCTTATAGTCTTTTTTGTTTTAAAGTTTTTTTTTCAATAAATTAAACATTTCTTGAGTATTCATAGTACTAATACATTATGTTTGCAGTAATCTATCGAGGCACAAAGGGCAGATAAAAGAAGTGTAATCAATGGTCTTATATTAAGGAATTGATAATAGCTATAAACAGAAGGTCTCTCAGGGCTCCTTTAATATTTGAATAAGAAATGTAGGCAAAGCATACATAATAATCATCAGACGTTAAGTAAAACCTCCAACTTCTAATCTTCAATCAGTTTGAAACCCAATCAGTGTGACCTTCGTGCCAGTCCTGCCATCCTGAGCTCTCCCAGGGGCTGTGGACAGTCTGAAACCCACACCCTCCACGTTCCCCTGCAGACAGAAGCATCGAGAGATGCTAGTGGGTGGAAGGTAAGCACATGTCTATTCCAAGAAGCTGGTGCTCACCTGCAGACACAGACAGCTGTGGGTGTTGCCTGTGGCTATCAGCTGTGCACTCAGCACCCCCCACTTCAGGGAGGAAGGATTGGTGGGAACTTTTCTCTGATCCCTGTCTCCTGTCATTCCCATCTTCCTTATCTTCAGAGGCTAAATTCCTGATTCCAAGTAATAATCTCACTAAAACTACTTACGTGGCTACCATTTTCCTGACTAATATCATGTGACTTAGTTTCTTATTAATTTTTTAAACTTTTGTTTATTATTATTTATTTTGGCTGCATTGGATCTTCATTGCTGTGCACAGGCTTTCTCTCGTTTCGGGCGGTGGGAGCTACTCTCTAGTTAAGGTGCATGGACTTCTCATTGCAGTGGCATCTCTTGTGGAGCATGGGCTCTGAGCATGCAGGCTCCATAGTTGCGGTACACAGGTTTAGTTGCTCGTTGGCATATGGGATCTTCCTGGACCAGGGATCAAACCTGTGTCGGCTGCATTAGTCGGTTCTTAACCACTGGACCATCAGGGAAGTCCAATTTCTTATTAATTTGTCACATACTTACATAGCATTTACCATGATCTAGGTTTTATTCACTCATTTCATCCTCTTAATAACCCTACAAAGTAGGTAAAATATTATTGATAGGCACAGCGGTAACTTGCCTAAGGTCACAAAACCAGGAAGCAGCAGAGCTGGGGCTCAAACCCAAAATGTTAGTCTCTGGAGTTCATGCTTTTATTCTTATAACCTTTGCAAATAATACCTATGAGACTGTATTTGTCTGCTTGAGATGTCATAATACCATCAACTGGGCAGTTTAAACAACAGATGTTCATTTTCTCACAGGTCTGGAGGCTGGAAGTTCAAGATCAAGGTCTGGCAGTTGGTTTGCAGTGAGAGCTCTCTTGTTGATTTATAGAGGACTGCCTTCTCACCACGTCCTCACGGGGCCCTTTCCTGGGGTGGGGGTGAGAGAGAGAGAGTTATGGTGTCTCTTCTTATAAGAAATACCCCTATCAGATTAGAGTCCCAACCTTACAATCTTATTTAATCTTAATTATTCCCATAAAGGCCCTACCTCCAAATAGAGTCACATTGAAGTTAGGGCCTCAACATGTGAATTTTGAGGAATTCAAACAGAGACCAAACTAACAGCAACAAACAGCCTTGCCCACTGTTGGCGGAAATCATCAGTAAAGGGTCAATAATAGAAATGAAAAGGAGTCTTATTCGTGCCAAACTGAAGACTACAGCCAGAGAGATATAGATTCAAAAAGCCCTTGAATTGTGTTCCCCTGGGCTACAAAATAGAGGAGGTTCTAAAGGAAAAAACTACAAAATCACAGCAGCTGTTCATCAAGAATTAATTTTGGAGCTGCAAGAAATAAGGAAGCTTGCTAAGCAAGGATTGGTTATGGTCTGAAATGGTTGTGTAGTTACAAGAGGAGACCCTGAGACCTAAGGTTGCAGCTGGCATCTGCCAGCAGACACTGTTATGAGAACAGCTGGTGACATCCTTGAGTCTGATATAGTTCAAAAATTCAACTTCCCACGGATGCAGGAAATCACATCCATAACGGTCACCGGCTCCAGCTGGGTGCCTGAACCACTGTGACTCCATTCTGATTTTCAAATGCATCCTTTCCTTTAAAGGTTAAAGCAGATGTACAGTGCATGTTTAATGGGCCATAAAACAGGCTGTTTTAGTTACCATAAAGTTTAGGTTCAATCATGTATAAGCCAAAATTACTTCCCCACATCTCAATAGGTAAAAACTTCTCCCATCCCTACATCATTATGTCTTGTGGCCCTGAGAATGCAGCATCCTGTTCCCTGGGCTCCAAAGGAAATGCCTGATTCATTTTTTTTTTTAACCTCCCTCTATCATGGGACTGTGCCCAAGTTATTCAATCTTGCTGAGCCTTGCTTTCTCCACCTGAAAGTGGGTTGTGAGTATTAAATAAAACAACAACACAAATTTCATAATCTAATCCCAGCCACATAGCATCTACTCTATATACCTGTGCTCCCTGTTTTCAGTTCTCTTCAGATGATGCTTATCAGCACAGCATGTCCACCCTAGTCCTACTTGTTCAGCAGCATCCGTGGACATTTGTCCACCCATAGATCGTGTTAGAGGGCAGATCCTAGCCTGGCTCACTCTGCCCCACTCTGCCTCTCTGAGCGAGCTTTACTCTGCAGACATGCCAGGTGGAGAGCGTATACCCCACTCTGTACAGCTGGGGTCCCCCATGTACACACCCAGCTTCTACCCAACAGCCGCACCCATGCCACTTGTAGAAAGTGGGGGGAGACAGAGGCTGCACTTCCACTGCTTCTGGAAGCATTTGATTTTTCTGAGATGGGAGGGCCTGAGACATGGGCTGAAGGCCCCGCTCCAAGGTGGGGATCAGCAAAAGTGATCCCCTGTGACAGTGAAAGCCCTGAACTCTCAGGACCCACGTGGGGCAGCAGGTCGCTGGCTTTTGGATTCACACGGTGACCAAGGAGGCAGTTCACTCACGGGGCCAGTTCTGCGATGTTGGTCTTGAAGTTAGCTCTGAAAGTTCCACCAGAGTCTTCCTTTCCAGACTGCGATGATTTTGTGGACCCAATCCCCTGTAGAGTCTCTTTGTGCTCAAATGTCCTGGAGTCATCACCACCTAAAGCGGACACTGTCTCAGACAAGTGTGCAGAGGTCAAAGATACACAGTACCTGAGGCTATAGGTCCATGGAACTCACACCCTGAAGTTTCCTGTGTGCTTGCTGTGGTCACCCCAGTGCCCAGAACTGCCCAGTAGACAGTTGTGAAACTGTTGACCCAACATTGCCCCTTCATTAGTTATTGATCCCTTATTAGTTATCTGCCACTGCCTAACTAATTACCTCATATTTAATGGCTTAAAACAATACACATCTGTTACCTTGCAGTTTCTATGGTTCAGGACTCTGGGATTGGTGTGGCTGAATGATTCTAGGCTGTGGTCATCCCAAAGCTACCTGAAGGAGGCTCCCTTGCCAAGCCCCCGACCCTCACCCCAGGCTGTTGGCAGGAGTCCCCGTTCTTCACCATGTGGACCACTTCCAGCTGCCGGAGCAGACTCACAACGCTGCAGCGTGATTCTGTCCCCACATGGTGGTCCCTACCAAAGAGCAGGTGACTTTCCCGAGTGAGTGATTCAAGGGTGAAGCAGACAGAGACCCACACACATCTGAGACCCAAGCTCCAATCTCTGAATAATCTGCATCTTAGAGATAACATCTCATCTCATACCTATTAAGGTGGCTATTATCAAAAAACAAGAACAAGTGTTGGTGAAGATGTAGAGAAATCGGAACCCTTGTGTCCTGCTGGTGGAAATGTCAAATGGTGCCACTGCCATGTAAGTCCATTTGACAGTTCATCCAGAAAGTTAAGCCTTGAATTGTCATATGATCGAGCAATTCCACTCACAAGTATATACCCAGAAGAATTGAAAGCAGGGACTTGTACGTCTGTGTTCACAGCTGTGTTATTCACAATAGCCAAAGGGGGAAGCCGTCCAAGTGTTCCTTGATAAATAAGATATGGAATATACACACAATGGAATAATATTCAGCCTTAAAAAAGGAAATTGCAAAACATGCTACAACATGGAGGGTATTATGCTAAATGAAGTTAGCTAATCATGAGAGGACAAATATGATTCCTCTTGTAGGAAGTAGCTAGGATAACCAAACTCAAAGAGAAAGAAAAATGATGGCTGCCAGAGGGTGGGGGCAGGGGGAAATGGGGAGCTGTTCAGTGGGTGCCGTATGTCAGTCTGGGATGAAGAAAATGTTCTGGAGGTAAATGGTGGTGATGGTTGCCCAACAATGTGAATGTCACTGGACCGAACCTTGCCCTGAAGATGCCCACTCACAGCTCCTGTCGGTCAGGATTCTGGGAGCAGCTCTGCTGTGATTCTTGGTTGGGGCCTCTCACAGGATAACTATACACTGAACTGTTGTACTGAAAATGGTTAAAAGGATCAATATTATATACATTTTACTACAACTTTAAAGAATAAATTAAAAATAAGATAGAAGTGACAGCTCATCATTTCTACCAAATTCCCTTGGCTGGAAGTGAATGACTCGATCCTGCTGACACTCAAGGAGAGGGAACTCAGCTCCACCCACTGAGGGTGGGAGAGACACAGGATGTGTGGGGTGTGTTTGTCCACCTCCACACCTGTTCAAGGCTTCCCTTCCAAAACAGGCACAACTGGTAGAAAAGTAGAAAAATATACCAGCTACTTAAGGATAAATCGCAAACTACTTCAGGGTGGACTTCCTGCACAGGATGATCCAAGAGGCAAGGATAAGTGTTCCTCCTCAGGTTGTACTTCGATTTATCTCCTTATACCCGTGGGCCCTGACACCTAAATTGGTTTACCTCAGAGAGTAAAATACTGATAAGGAGATTAGCCTATGTATAAAATAGGTTATCCAAACTCGGTGAATTATTCTTTAAGAAAGAAAATTCTATGGATCATTTTCACCTCTACCTACACGCCACTCGTACCTCCCCAGACTATCAGGCTAAAGGCGTACTCTAGCTGAAATAACTAATAATAAGTTAGTCATGAACTGCCTCTTTGCGCCCCCTGGACTGTTGCCCACAGGTTCCTTTGGCCATGGCGTTCTCCAGACCAGACTACTGGAGTGGCTTGCCATTCCCTTCTCCGGAGGATGTTCCTGACCCAGGGACTGAACCTGGGTTTCCTGCATTCCTGGTGGATTCTTTACCATCTGAGCCACCAGGGAAGCCCAGGAAGAGAAACCGCTAACACAGGGAAGTGTACTCAATATCTTGTAGGAATCTATAATGAAACATATGTATTTATGAATCACTTTGCTTTACACCGGAAATTAACACAACATTGTAAATCAACAACATTTTAATAAATTTTATTTTTAAAAAAACTTTAAAAATAAAAAAGGAGAAAGAAAATTCTATCTTTTATGATTTCAAATCAAATGTAATTACTTGAAGGACTGCATTTGAAGTGGCACAATATTTGCAAGGACAACATTCAAAATTTGCAATCTGTGATTTTGTTGAATTGTTAGGGTAAGTATATAAAACCATATTCTAAAGGCTTCTTGATATATTCCCCTGTGATCACCCTGGGCCTCTCAGTCACAGAAAGGAATAGGGGTGATCATAGGCTAGGGGTGGTCATAGGAGAGAGCGTGGCTGGAGAGAAACCCCTGCATCTGTAATTCCTTTCTAACGTCTTTAAAGTCCTGTGCAGGGGAAACATCAGACAGAGATCACTCTCAGGGTGGCATTGCCACTTCTTCCCAAAGGAATATACTAACAAACATGTTTTTAAAAAGTTCTCTCAAGTAGTTTAATTTTTCCTCAGTATAATGAGGAATTTATTGTTTTTCTCTCTGATTTGTTCATCTATCTCTTTCTGCATTGCTTTTTCCTTTCTGATGAAAGGCCAAACTATTTCCAATTTAAGCCAGCACCTCGAGGCTTTTGGTAATCTTGTAGCTGCTCTCCTTCCTCTTCTCTTTTCCTTCCCCAGAGCCTATTACCGAAGGGTTGCAGCTATTTCTTAATTTTAAACAGTTGCTTTCTGGGGCAAAAAAAAAAAAAAAAAAAATCAAGAACAGAATAAACTTTAAAAAATCAGCACCTCTCTGTCGCTTTTTATCTTTTTAATTTGTCATTTGACTTGCCTGTGGTTTCATCTCTTTCAGGAGACAACAGATCTTTATCAGAAGAGTTAACTTACATTACGGCAATTTTTAACACAAACTGGGATTTTGATGTACTAGGGACTTCCTGTTATTGCCTTTCCCCAGATCTTTTTTTCATCCCCCCAAATATCTCACCTCCTTTTCTCCCCGTTTCTTCCCTCTCTTTCTTTTTCTCCTGGGGGTAAAGGAGTTGATCGTGCTATTTCTGGCACTCCCTGACAGTCCTGCCCCTAGAGTTACCCCACTGTTCAGTAATTACCCAATTTCTATACAAGCACAGGTGCCTTGGGTTCAGAGGCCTTTTCCTTCTGTCTTTGTTGGGGGAATGGAGACAGCTGAGGGTGTTTCATTTGGGGAGATTTACTAATGTATATTTTCCCACTCCCCTGCTAGTGGAGGTGGAGACAGGAGTTCAACTGAGTAACAACTAAAAGTTCTAAAAATTGCTGGCTGCAAACTGGAGCTCATTTGACCCGGGCTCATTTGACTCTCTGACATCACATCAGTCAATTGAACCCCTCAGACTCCAAGTTCATGTCCCTGGGTTGCAAAGCCTTCAGTTCTTAGAAGTTGTCATTTTCAAAACAAAACTAAATAATAATTACCAGTTTAATCATTTATTCTCTGACATTAGCTCAATATTTTAACTGTCAATAATCCAAAGTCCCTCAAGAAGTTTGTACCACACTAAGACAGAATTTTGTTTAAAATTCTGAAAGTGTGGGCTGTTGTTTTCTGGACAGTGAAGCAAATATCAGTGTTGAGACTTGGGTCCCCAGGAGGCTAACTCTGAGCTGGAGATGAGCAGGCAGGATAATTGTGAAAGGAGGGCCCCGGCACCAGAGGAAGGAAGAGCGAGGAAAGAAATAGGACTGGGCAACGGATGACGGTGGGCTCTAGGCCATGTTTGATGTCCCCGAGGTGTCTCATGGAGAGGCTTGGTCAACTGGTCACTGGATGTGGGCCATGTCTCCAATGTTCTAACATCTTTCATGGCAACTCACATGACCCTAGGCTGTTACCCACCCAGGGCAGGGGAAGAGTGGCTTTCCTGCTGGACTGAGGCATACCCGGGTTTGTGCCTGGATTATACACCTGCCCTCAAGTTCCGGCCAAACACATCCTTTACCTTTCCCGGACGTTGTTGTTCAGTAGCCCAGTTGTTTTTGACTCTTTGCGACCCCATGGACTGAAGCACTCCAGGCTTCCCTGTCCTTCACTATCAGAGTTTTCTCAAACTCATGTCCATTGAGTCCATGATGCCGTCCAACCATCTCATCCTCTGCCTCCCCCTTCTCCTCCTGCCCTCTATCTCTCCCAGCATCAGGGTCTTTTCCAATGAGTCTTTTTGCATCAGGTGGCTGAAGTATTGGAGATTCCTGGACATAAGCCCCACTTATTGTCCTTTTTATGAAAACACGGCCCAAGGTGAGAAAGGGCTGACCTTTCAGAACCACACTTTCCTTACCCTCTGTTCCCTCCCTTGCTCCATCCAGTGAACCCTGTGCTTAATGCCCTCACACAGGTGCAGCACTCAGTCCTCCCCTCCAGGCTCTGCGGGGCCCCGTGCAGTCTTCCAACGCTGCTGTCAGAGTACCTACCACCCTCTGACATTCGTGAATGACCTGTGTTAAACCCACAAATGTAAGTAGAGGAATAAAGCAGAACCACCTCAAAACCATGAGATATCACTTTTGTAGAAAGAGACAATGTGCTTAGTCCCTCAGTCATGTCCAGCTCTTTGCAACTCCATGGACTGTAGCCCACCAGCTCCTCTGTGGGGATTCTCTGGGTGAGAATACTGGAAGGCGTTCCTATTTCCCTTCAAATTTTTCTTTTGTTAGAGTTGAGCTTCGTAAAGAAGTATATTGGAAAACATTATAGGTTCTGTGACTTGTTTATATTTACAGAATAACATTTTGTTTTATATCTTATTTAAAATAAGAGTAATAACCCCCTGCCATTTTAGTCTGGCTAGAATCAAATAGTGCAAAAACAGTGTGAGTGTATAAGGAGGACGTGGATGTGAGTTTGGATTTTCTTGTATCTTTTTTCTATTTTAAAAATAATATTAAAGTCATGAAGGAGCAGAAAACATGGTGAGCAGGTACTACATAGTATAAAGAAGAAAGAGAAAAAAGTCAGTAAGTTATGCAAATGGGTATCTCAAAGAAAAAGAGGGAAAAGAAGAAATAATCCTTTGGAGGCATCAGATTAATCTCAACTCTGATTCATGATGTGCATGATACGAATTTCTGTCTTGCTTATGAGAGAAAAATATTACTTAAAAATTTTTGTTCTTGTTGTATTAGAGTTTCCACTGAGTTTCATGTTGGTACAGTGAGTGCTAAGAGCCCATTCCTTCTCAGGAGAGTGCTAGAAACAGACATGGGCCAGAATTAGTTTTATACTCTTTACCCCATTTCTTTTTTCTTTTTAATTAATTTATTTTTTAATTAAAGGATAATTGCTTTACAGAATTTTGTTGTTTTCTGCCAAATATCTACACCATCCACCCTAGCTCCTCAATCAATTGACTTCTGACTTCTGGATCAACCTCAAGAACTTATTACTGAGAAAATGGAATTGACAAATTCTAAGAGAATGCCAGGGCCAGTTTCTTAGGATTTCAGAGAAATAATTTAGGAGTCAAGAACTAGAGCCTTTTAGTTGAAAAGCCAGCCTTGAGACTCAAATAACTAACATCAAGAGGTGTGAAAGGATGCAGGGTCTGTGTTTCCTCTTTCCTCCACAGCAGGGGTATGGTTAGAGGATTAGGAAGGGTTGGCGCTGTTTTTAAGGCTGGTCCTAAGTTTAAACAGCAGATATGGCTGAACTGAGCCACAACCATTGTTGAGTAAGATAATCAGAAGTTAAAAAAGGATTCTAGGGACTTCCCTAATAACCCAGTTAAGAGCCTGCCTTTCAAGGCAGGGGACATGGGTTCCATCTCTGCTCGGGGAACTAAGATCCCACATGCCATGGAACATGTAAGTCCATGAGTTAGTTACAGCTAAAGTGGAGCCCTCAGGCCATAATGAAGACCCAGGCGGACAAAAAAAAAAAAGAAAGGAAAAAAAAAAAAACACAATAACAAGGGATTCTGACTCAACCAGAAACGATGTGACAAGTTAAATACAGTCTTCCCTCAATATCTGTGAGGTGTTTAGTTCCAGGACACTCACAGAAACCTGAATCCTGTGGAGCTCAAGTCTCTTACCTAGAATGGCATAGTTCACAGACTCTCCTCTGTGCCTGAGGTCTACGTCTGCACTTCAACCAACCTTGGGTCCAATTTGAATCTGCAGATGCTGAACTCAAGGGTAGGGAGGGCCAACTATATTTATTGTTTATAGGACATGTGCATTTGGGATTAAAAAGAAATTTGGTTTCCTGTCATGGTTAGAGGTAGAGATTTGAATTTTTTTAATGTGAATTTTTTGTCAATCATGAAGCAAAGCGAGTTCTAGGGTCTTTCTCACTGACTCCCTGTATCTCATTCACTTCTCCTAAGATATTTAGTGTCCTTTTTTCACCCACAGAAAAAACATTTTTCTCTCATTCACACGGATGAAATGTGGTAAAATCAGCTGTGAAGACAGGAGTTGATGTTAAGAGGTCAATATTCTAATAAAGCTGGAGACTTCTTTTTATAACTTAAAATGACCAAACAACACTCATATACATGGGTGCATGAACACGAAATCAGGGTTTTAGTTTTATGATGCAGAACAACACTAGGTCTCGTTGCCATGACAAGTGACTTTAAAATCTCCCTGACTTAGCCCTGCCTACGTGGCACATCCACTGAAGGGTGACAGGAGTTATGCTCCATCTGACCATCGGAGACTCAGGCGGCCATTGGCTTCGCTGTCTCGTGACATTGCATCTCAGCACATGACTTCAGGGGCTCCATGGGAAAGGCACAGTGTGAAAGACTCAACTAAACCCTACTCACAGCCCTGTGGCCAGAACTGATCATGCGGCCCCAACCTAACAACAAGCAACTAGGAAGGCGAGGAGGACCAGATATGGTGGTTCTTGTCATTTCTACCATGCTGCAGCCTCTGGATGTGTATGGATTGTGTCTGTGTTACCATCTGTCCAAGACATGACTAATAGAGTTTTTACTATAAGGGCATGATAGAAAAGGGGTTACTGTGTCAGTTTATGAGAGTTGAGCTTTGATATATCATTTTATATGATCATACATTTTAAAATGTACCAGAATCATTAGACAGCTAAATAAGACACAAATTCCTTGTCCCTATCCCTAGAGATTTTTTTTTAATTGGAGGATAATTGCTTTATAATATTGTGATGGTTTCTGCCATACATCAATATGAATCAACCACAGGTATACATATGTCCCCTCTCTCCTGGATCCCCCTTCCCATATCCCTCCCCATCCCACCCCTCTAGATTCTCACAGAGCACTGGGTTGAGCTCCCTGTGTCCCTAGAGACTTTTAATCCAGCAAACCTGAGGTGCAGTCCAGGAATCTGGGTTTTAACAAGCACCTCTGAGGGTTTTCCTGCCTATCACCTTCATAGTTTGGAGCACATGAGGTGACTGGTTTCTGCTCTCCGACAGTGATACTTCAGGGTTTCAGCATGCAGGAGAGAGACAGAGACAGAGAGATATTTTAAGGAGTGGAACACTAGGAAGCAGATGACTGTTCCTTCTCGTTGATCTCTACGAAACAAAAGCCTTGGGAGAAGTGGATCCCCAAACTTCAGAAGTGTGTGAAGAGAAACAGCTGAAAACGAAAGAGAATTAGTAGAAAGTGCACTGTGCAAGATGCAAGGACTGTGAGCAGGTGTAAAGGAAGAGAGGGACTGGGGATGGTGTACATCCTGGTGGACCAGTCACGTGGCTAGA